GAGAGAGAGAGAGAGAGAGAGTGAGAGAGAAAGATAGAGAGAGAGAGAGAGAGAGAAAGATAGAGAGAGACAGAGAGAGAGGAGGAGGAGGCGGGGTTGGGGGGGAATAAAGGCTCTATTATTACCTTGGACTTTTTTTTGTTGAAAATCTGTTCGCCGTGGCTGCTTAACTTCGGCCAACTGTTCATAGATTCTAATTACTTAAGTGTATAGATCTATCCCAATCCAAATTTTTCTTTTCTCGTCTGGGTTTTTTTTTTTTGGGGGGGGGGGGGTAATTACCGGTGTCGATTTATATTTGTCAAAATTCAAATTCTAAATGTTGAAAACAAACAATGATATACGCATGATAGTTTAAAAGATTGAAACAATGTTTCTTTCTTCTCTCAAAGCTTCGCTTTTCGAGCTTACGGCCTGCCTAACCTATAATTTACTTTAACAGCTTACCGACGATCACGTCTCTATGGTAGTCAGCATAATATGAATTATGGATAAATAGATGGATTGGAGAAGACATAGAGTAGCGGCGGGGTTGTGCGATAGAATCTAGTATGAACCAATTTACATGCTAGAACGTTCCCGCGTTTATCAACATCCGGCAGCACCCTTTCCTGTAGCACAAGATTATTGGCAGGTCGCTGTGGTTGCTTATTGCACGTACACAGAGGCAAATTATTTCCAGACTTGCTGATTACGTATTCTAACAGTACATCGGCCTGCAGTTGTAAGGCTGTCAATGCATTTTATGAAGATGTGTATACTTGCACTACACACAGAGCAGTGTGTTGTGCGTGTATCATCAGTACTAAGCAAAGAAGCACGGAGCCGCTCAGCCTCTCTGAGGGGATGGATGGGGGTTGGCGCGCAGGCGCGCAGTGCCGCCATGGCGTCTGGTAAGGCGGGGTTTCGCGTCTCAGACCTCTGCAGCGAGAACGGGACAATACTATATTGCATCAAGGCCCACACCAGCCACTTGACACAACCTCTGGACCAGGCGTTTTAGGGGCCATTATTAAGTCAGCGTGGTGATAGGGGATAAGGACGTTTGTGACGGACACCACGGAATCTGTCACACTGAGGACGTTTGCCGGCGTCCTGAATTGAAGGCCTGGACAACAGTAGCTCGGCTAAAAACGGTCTTGAGGGGATTCACCAAGTCAAGGCTGTTTCCCTACAACCCTGACGTTGTCCTCACAAAGTGACAAGCTGAACCCAGCTGCACCTTCACAGGGTCCCCAGTCCCAACCCTCCGCTTGTAATCCACCTCGTTTGCCTCTGCCCCTTCCGCTTGATCTTCTGCTTCTAAACCATCCACGACGTCACAAGCTCGCCGTCACCGATTCAAGGAGATATTCTCCATGAACTTTAAGCTTGGGGAGCAGAAGGTGGACCTGTACCTCAAGAGGTATGGCAATGGATACGACCTCAAGATCGACCCCGACTACAACATTATGGTCCAGCCTGATGGACAATATTGAACAACTGGCTCCTCCGCTCCCCCAGCCATCAGCAAGAGCCCTGGAACCCCAGACCCCCTCCGGGGAGATGACTATCGATAAGGTGCTCACATTTCCGTCCCGTTCCAAGAACTAAGCCGTTAGAAGGCCCAAGCCAACAGTGCCAACGTCAATCAGTGGAAAAATGGCTATAAAGAGATGATACTCACGAAGAAGAGGAAGGCGGAAGAAGAACAACAGCAGAAGGAAGAGAGAAAGAAGCAAAGGGAGCAGAGAAAGATGGAACGACTAGCACAAGCTGAAGACAAGAAGGAAAGCCAAAAATAGAAGAAAAAACAAAGGGAGCAGGCAAAGAAGGAGAGAGAAGAGGAGAAGAAAAAGGGAATTCAGGAGAAGACGAATGCTTTGGTTGGGGCCTCACAGAAGAAGAAAGAGGACAAAGATTCCTCAGACTCAGAAGAAAAACGACAGCTCCGACGATTGTGGGGACATTACAGTCGACTGAGCTGGGTGTGGAGCCACCACCGCAGGATAAGTAGTGATCGCCCAGTGCATGCTTTGTGACAAGTGGTGGCACGCCAACTGTGTCAACAGATGGAACTGTAGGACAAAACTCAGGAAGACCTGAATGTCATGGACATTGAGCTCTTTTGCTGTGCTGACTAATCTCTCCTTCCCAATTTGTTTCATACAAAAAGTGTAAACAATATCTTTGTTTATCCATGTGCAATTAGATCCACATGTCTCTACTTTGCTGTTCTTATTATAATTTAATTCATGGTTTTCAGAGATATCTAGACTCACTAATAGATTACTGTTTCCATTGTAAGTGTTGGCTTCAGTTATTTTTTGTTTTCTTTCTTTTTTGGCTATACATAAAAACTGAGTGTCTTTTGTAACTCTTAACTCTTGTGCAATTTGTAAGAATATTTCCTGCTTTGCCACACAAATACCACTACTGAGGAAGACAGGTAAACAAAGCAGGCATAGCGCGCTGGGCCGACGATTGCAGACGAAATTTGCTTCTCATCAGTCATATATATATCATAATAGTATTGGGTGTGGAGAAATAGCAGATAGAGATAGATAGGGAGAGAAAGATGACAGAGAAAGAGATAGAGATAGAGATAGAGATAGAGAGGGACAGAGAGAGAGAGAAAGAGAGAGAGAGAGAGAGAGAGAGAGAGAGAGAGAGAGAGAGAGAGGAGACAGAGAGAGAGAGGGGGGAGTGTGTGTGTTTGTGTGAGTGTGTGTGTGTGTGTGTGTGTGTGTGTGTGTGTGTGTGTGTGTGTGTGTGTTTTTTTGAGAGAGGGGGGGGGGGGGGGTTGCGCTTGTCCCTCTTTGTGAACTTTCTCGGTCATGTTTTTGATAAACGATAATACTAATATTATCTAGATTTGGTTTGGATTTGGAGGCCTTTACCTACATTGATAAACACTATCCTGTTTGATGTTAAAGTCATAGATGTACTATTTTGGTTTCGGTTGGCAGCTTGTCTTTGGTGAGAAAAGCTACCACCATCGTTTTGATTAGAAATTTATTTTTTTGATTATAGTTTGTTTTTCGTTTCTTATTAGTAGTTGTCACTTACTTTCGTTTTCTCTGCCAACTCTTCACAGTACAAAGTTTTCATAAATGTTGCTCCTGAGAGATATTCTTCACACTTCACAACACCACACACAATTGTATGGACACTGGCTATACACGGAAGAGAATTGACCGTGTCTGGAAACCACGAGATTGTTACGTTGGGTTCTCGAATATGAGAACAAATTGACAGGTACGAGTTTCTGATCTTCTTTCTATTTCAAATTTTGATTAAAATTACACAAAGAAGGGTACTTTGAAGTTGTAGCTTTGGCTTTGATTGATTTTTCTAGCCTATCGCAGTCAACTCGAGGTCTGTCGGGTCGTTACACGGCACTGTGTTCGACTTTGATTTTTGTTCTTGAGTAGATCTAGACTATGAGTTTGTTGACATTGTGTGTCCAGGAATATGTTCTTTGAGATTATGTTGACGGGTATACAACGTTCGGTTGCTGATGTAAGGAATTCTGTTTAAAAAGGGACCCCTGAGTCTGAGTGGTTTCGATCAGAAACAAGTAAGTCAACGTAGGCAGTTTTGTTAGAGGTAGAAGGCAAAAGTTGGAGTTGGACAAAGAACCTTCTAAACCTAAACACAGTTTGACACTGTAGGGCCTACTCTGTTGACAGAATGATGTTGTAGCCTGCTCAAGATCTGTCTAGTGGTGAGTGTTGAATGATGTGAAATTAGGAATTTGTAAAAGGCAGTCGTTTCGAGTCCGAATAACATTTTTTCATATATTCGGACTCGAGTCCGAATAAAAAAGTTTCTTATTCGGACTCGAGTCCGAATATAAAAAAATGTTATTCGGACTTGGGTCTGGAAAAAAGGAAGTGTCTTCGTTCTATAGATCTAACGGTCTAACGTTCAGTGCTTCCAATTTTCCGCCATTTTAAAGTTTCCCCCACACCTTATCTGCCGATCCAATGCCCGCCGCCTCATTGATACCCCCCCCCCCCCACGTTTCCCACTTTCTTTGTTGTAGAAGAAGGTAAAATTGAAGATTAGCAGACCAACTGGACCTGGCACCTGCATATTATGAGCTGTGTAAAAAAAAAAAGACCGATTCGTTCAAATACACAATCTGTGTCATATCGATTGTTTACCAAGAAAAAGCTGTGTTGCTGTGTAGAGCTGAGCATACGGCCACTTTTGATTCCATAGAGCAGCGCACAATTCATTACGTAGATCTACGTCAAGACTAGCTTATTATTGTACTAATGATCAGTTGCCGGGGGGAAAAAGACTGACGCGTATGTATGCGACATTCAAAGCCCCGACCGATAGTGCCCCCCCACCACCCTCCCCGACACGCACACAGCCACACGTGTGCAGGCCGCCCATCCGACCCCGACACACGCTAACAAGCCATCTTTAATTGCTTCTGATGACCTCTTGACAAATAAACATTTATTAGAAGCGCTATAACTTTTCTGGCCGGCCTCAAATTCATCATAAGATTAAATCTCAGCTCCTGCACAAAACGTCTTTTTGCCCGAAGTGATCCCGGTCTCAACCCAGCCTGACGCGAGTCACGAGTGAGGCAGGACAGGAAGCCGGATTCACGAGTCACAGGAAGTCGGAAGTGATGTCATGCTGGACAAGAATCAGAGTCCGAATAACATTTTTTAATATTCGGACTCGAGTCCGAATAATCACTTCGTTTGTAAAATCGTAGATCTCTTAGCTAGAATCTAGTCTAGATCTAGATCTAGAATCTAGATCTAGACTCTAGATTCTAGATCTGATCTAGATCTAGATCTAGAATCAAGAATGAGATATAACTTGTGGTTGAAGTGAGTGGATTTTGGGGAGGAATTCCGTAGATCTTTAGATCTATCTAGATATCTAGATCGAAGTGGCAAGCCGTACTTAAGTACGGCTAGACTGAGAGTCTAGATAGAGGCATAGGTTTAACTAACTAGATTCTAGTAGGTAGGGCTACAGTAAAGGCTAGGCCTATGGTTTGGGTAGCGGGTTAGGTCTCTTATTTAGATGGAAGAGGCTAGCCGTACTTAATGACGGCTAGACTGGCAGTCTAGCCGTACTTATTCTTAATATGATGGCTAGACTGACCTATTTTACAAAAAATAGGCCTACTGAATTGTAAATATACCTTTTTAGTGTGCAGTACCTAAAGTCTTTGTATTTGAGACGAAACCAAGGGCCTTAATGACAGTGCATGTATTTTAAACCTCCTGTTTTCTAATGTTAATAGGGCCTAAGATAAGTACGGCTAGACTGGCAGTCTAGCCGTACTTAAGTACGGATAGACATCCAGGCTAGCCGTACTTAAGGACGGCTAGACTGTCAGGCTGGCCGTACTTAATATTGATGGCTGAATTGTAAATGAAATTTTTAGTTTGCAATGCCTAAAGTATTTGTATTTCAGACAAAACCAAAAGGTGCCTTACTGACTTGCATGTATTTGAACCTGAATAATTACTAGATCTAGATCTAATGAGACCTGTGTACTTAACAGGCTTGAGTCGATTGGGCCAAACCTAGATCTAAGTACGGCTAGCCACTTCGTATTTAGATTGTGTTTGTTGAGATTCTTGAATGTTTTGTGAAGCGGAGTGTCTACGTACACAGTAACCGGGCATCTAGTCTCACCTAGTCTCAGTATCTATCTACGTACATGGTAACTGGGCACCTAGTCTCACCTAGTCTCAGTATCTACATGTAGGTAACTGGGCACCTAGTCTCAGTATCTACGTACACGGTAACCAGAATGAAAATATAAATCAATATTTGTCCTGTACTGTCACTTGCTGAATTAAAAAGAAAGTCGTACAAGATACAAGCGTCTGGTCGGGCTCGCCATCGTGACCAGTCAGTGAACCTTTGTGTGCGCATCACATTGTGAGTACCGGTTGGGGTCACCAAAGTTCATTCAAAGTCTTGCGCTGCGAAAGGGCTCCGGAATGGGGGGATTATTGATTTTTTTAAAGTCAGGGGAGGTGTGGGGGATAAAGGCAACACTGGATGACAAAAACTGAACTTGGAGTTCTGAACTACCCGGTTGTACTTTTATACGTGACACTGAGACTACATGCCCGGTTGCCAGTACGTAGTTATTGAGGCTACATGCCCGGTTAGTGTGTACATGACACTGAGACTAGGCGCCCGGTTGCCGGTTACCATGTACTTAGACTCTCCGTTTGTGAAGTCCTACCAGATCACTAATTTTGTTCATTAACTCTTTCCGGACATATCGCCGATATATCGGCGCGGGTCCTCACCCTTTGCGGACGTTGTATCGCCGATTCGGCTGTGATAGGGTACCTCAGTATTGTTTCATTTTGACACGACCTGTCATTTATTATTATTACTTTTTATTGCTGTTAAAAAACTAGGAAAGGACAGGAAACGAAAATATCTAGATCTAGTTTCACTTTGTCAGAGTGTGGGTATGGGGACAAACGAGTGAATTAGTCCTTGCGAACTTGAATCATCAAAACGATGTAACAGGACTCAGTATAAATTAAATATCATTTAACTCAAACAATAATTGGAATATTGCTTTCAAATAAAAAGCTGCACATTCAGAAATTTATTGATTATAATGCTCTTGGCCTGTATATGATAAGCAGGCGCGGTTCGTCCATAGAGCACGGTCATGCAGTGCCGCCCAAAATGTTTTAATGTTCTATGACGTAAAGCACCCACAATAATAAAATAAAAGACGCCAGAAACAAACAGTAGCCAAATATTATATCAAAACAAGGCCCTCGCTGGCGGCGTAACTGTCATTTTTATTCTATAGCGCCGTAAAACATCTCTACTATGCCATGCCTAAGTTCATGTGCTATATCTAAACATAACAGGATAGTCAACAGTGGAAACCTGACCTATAAATCCCTCTGTGGGATAACCCAAACGATGATGACACTTGTAGAGAGTTTGACGGTACATTAATATTAATAAGACTGCACATCTCAAATGTGCTCCTGCCAAATAGCGCCGAAACATAGCCCACAGTAGGCAATCTAAAAATAAACGCCATAGACTGTGCACTATTCCATGCCAAAATTATGTGGGCCCCGGAGCAATCCAGCGGAGTGCTCAAGTGAATTGTGATTGGTTCATTGTCTTGTCGCTATTTTAAGTGACTCTGTGACCGTGAACCTGAGGGAGGTGAACGTGACATACTTAAGTCGCCGTCCTATGAGTTGTGCTTTTGAATGGTTTTGTAGTGGAGTGGTGAAAGGTATTACTTGATTGTTCAGTTCTAATGCAGGATGAATGAAATTGACGTTTAGCTAACAAACAGATTTAGTTCTAGAAGTCAAAGCCACAAGTAAAAAGAATGAAAATAAAAGCACAAGGTCTTCCTTCACCAACCCAAAGATCCTAAAATTATACAACATCCCATTTACTCTGCCCTTGATTATCTTCAGCCTAACATAGCTTAATTGTGCACGCCCACTTTTTAGACCCACGAGCTGCCCCTGATGATAACATACAGCAGCTGAGACTCTTCAGGAGAAGTGGTCCCAGCCTAACTCCATAGACATTTATACATTATGTACACAATCAGAAACAAAACCGGAAGTTGCCTTAAAAAAGGGGGGTGGGGGGTTGCAGGGGGGTTTCTCCCTGCTAAATTCACAAAATAATGGTTTGTGGCAGTTTTTAGTGCCAAAATTGTTTTCAGCACACAAAAAAACCATTAGAATTCAAAAGAGTGCCGAAAATAGATCTAGTCTCAAATAGGTTTAGCAGGCAACTCGGTTCAATATATTTACTCGACTTCCGTTTTTGTTTCCAATTTTGTGCATATAAATGCCTTTGGAGTTAGGTCGGGACTACTTCTCCCGAAGAGTGCCGAGCAGTTATGCTGATTTGCTTTCACATGTTTGGTGAATGTAATTTTTTCCGTCAGGACTTATTTTTCTCATCACCATCTTCATTTCTAACCCTTGTAATGCATACTTATGTTCAAAAGTAATCCTTGTTTCATATTGGGGTGTGTACTCCTCATTCAATTTCCTCCAATTTGATATATCATTGTATATGTTACGTTTTGAGTGATGATTATGCTTCTATGAAGTTATTTTGTGCTCCACCAGCATTGGCAAATCGAGCCAAAAGTTAATTATGTCTAGACCCCCCAAAAACTACATCCGGAAAGAGTTAATTAAAGGCTGGCTCTATTTCTCCAAGCGCTCAGGAAAATATACTTGAACTCT